CTTCATCGTACAGGTAAAGGTGAGAGAGAGTGAGTGAGAGAGAGTGAGAGAGAGAGAGAGATGCAAGGTCGTAGAATGGAGATTCTAAACTCTTCGTTACACTTTTTTTTTTTATAAATCTTTCGACTTTTTCCACGTGGTTCAAACGTTTAGTCCACGCACGTACGCACGCACACACGTACGGGGATCCCTTTTCGAATGAATTCGCGTTTTTTGATTTAAAATAAAAAAAATAGGGGATTTATTATTATTATTATTTTCTTTCCTTTCGAAATTTTCCCTTTCTGACACGAAAAAATCAACCAACCTACCTACGCGCTTTGAATAAATATTAACATTATTATTATTTATTTATTTATTAGTTTTAACCTCTCTTGGCAAAAATTTAAATTTTCAATTTTATAAATATTTTATGGGAATTTTTTTTTTGAGTGACATCAAATCCCCTCCGGTTGATTTTTATTTACCTTTAAATCATAAAAAAGAAAAATTATTTTACCCACGATTATTATTATTATTATTACTACTATTAAGATTAACGCCTTTTTCTCATGATAACTTATGTGTGCACACACTCACACACACATTTTTTTTTTAAATATAATAATTACGACTTTTTTTTTAGTTTATTATTATTATTATTATTAATATTTTCTTTAACGTCACGTTTTTACAAATAATTAAATAAAATTTAGAAATTTCTAGAAATATTATTAAAAATATTCGTTACGTCGTTATTAAAATTCCAAAAAAAAAAAAAAAAAATTTTCTTCCCCATAAATTCTTTAATTTAATAATAATAATAATAATATAACAATTTTTAACGGTCATTTTTTTATTTGTGGGGGTGGAGGGGGGAAGCAATTAAACGTTTGAATTGTCAAAAAAAAAACAATTCTCCTCGCACGTCGCCATATTTAATTTAAAAAATAATTTTTACGATTTGTCAACAATTTTTTTTTTTTTTTACAACAGGAAAAACGACAGCGGAAGTAGTGAGGAGCGGGTTGGGGGTGGTGGGGGTGGGGAAACCTTTACAAAAAACCTACATTTTTATTACCGTCACGTTTATCATTTTTTTTTTTTTTTTAATGTTATGCGTTCGAAAACGTGTTTTTTTCATGTAAATTTTTTATTATTATTATTATTAATAATTGATTTTACTTAATTAAATTTTTCCCTCCTTCCCTCCCCTCTCCTCCCATCTCCTCCTCCTTCTTCGTTACGAATATAATCATTATTATAATCATCATCATCGTGCGTTTCGAAAAGTGAAAATGCCAACACTTATTATACACATATACATTACTACTACCGGTTGATTATTATTATCGAGTAGCAAAAGACGATTCATCATCTGATTAAGATGCGCAGAATATTAATAATAAAAAAAAAAAAATCGTGACGGGTAGTAAATTAAAAAAAATTTTTTTTTTTTTTTTAACGAATAAGTAATTCGATCCGCCATGTTTTTATTTTTAATAATTTATTAATTATTAACCTGAAAAAAAAAAAAAAAAAAAGAAAAAGAAAAAAATTTACGACGATCATACAGACACGACTACGAGACATTTTTCTCTCTCCCCCCCTCTCCCTCCCTCCCTCCTTCCTTTCGTTTCGCAACAAGAGCATTAAAAAAAAAAAGTAAGAATAAGAATAATGATGATAATAGGTTTATGTGACGCGACGTATCACCGTCAATTTACATCCTATTATTTTCATGGTCGTCCAGTCACCAACCAAACGCGCGCGCGACAAATCCGACGGGTTGGTGACTTTTTTTTTTTTTTTTTTTTTTTTTTACTTAAAAGTCATATAATTGATTCGACAAAAAAAAAAAGGAAAAAAAATTCCATAAAACCAATTACTTAAACCCGATACATAAATTTTCATTTTATTTATTAAAAAAATAAAAAAAAAAGGGTTTTTTTATTATTATTATTATTACTCCGGTGATGGCGGCGGTGGTGGTGGTGGTTGTGGTGGTGTTACGAAAGAAGAATGAAATTAATGGTTGGTGTTTATGTGAGTGTATGAGATGGTCAACAAACACCATTTCGTGTAATATTTGTCGTAACAAATCACACCGATTATTATTTTTAAATAAATAATTTTTCGACGAAAAAAAAAATTTTTTTTTTATTTTTTTTAATAAACAAAATGGCCGAAAAATATTCGTGTGGGCACAATAAGGTTCAATTAAGCAAATAAACGAAATAAACGAAATAAAGAATGTTTAAATTGATGGATATAAAAAAACAAATTTCATTTCTACGTGGACCACCACATCCTCATCTCTCTCTCTCTCTTTCTCTCTCTCATCCGCGCTTACCATCCCCCCCTCAATCTCTCTCTCTCTCTCTCGCTGTTTGAGTAATCGATTTTTAACACGAAATAATCAAAAAAAAAAAAAAAAAAAAATTTTTATGACGGCGCCATTTTATAAACAAATTGAAACTTTTACGATTAAAAAAAATAAAATAAAATAAAAAAAATACCACACATCGTTCGTTATTCTTTTTCATTTTTTCACTTCATTTTGTCGGCTGCTAATTTCTAAATCGATTCCGCCATTTTAAAAAAAAACTTTCTATCGAAACGATTTACCTTATAAAAATAGACACTTGTGAAATCATCGATTTTTATCGATCGATATATCGATCGTTCGATTTAAATTTAAAAAATTTTAATCATTTTTATTTTTAACCCCGAACGCGAGATTTAACGACGTCATCGTATCGTGTCACCAGTTTAAAATCAATTTATTTGGGGAGGGGGGGGGGCAGGGGGCACAGCGAGTAATTTTAACCCGTTGGAGTCGTTTCGATATAATTAATTAATATTACCGAGTAATAATTCGATTCGAAAGTTGTTTACTTTTTATTACTCGGTTTTTATTTAATTAATAAAAAACATTTTTGAAAAAAAAAAAAAAAAAAAAAAATGTTTTCGTAAAAATTGTAAGAAAGTTTTTTTTTAAAAAACAAGGTAATAAATTACGGTAATAATTAATTTCCCTCCCCCCACACCCACCCACTCACCCCGAGTTAAGATTAATTATATGCGAAACATTCGTTTTTTTTTTTTTTTTTTTTTTTTATAAAAAACTTATTCAAATTACATCCGCCCCTTTATTTACCCACCCTCTCGGTTACTCCCACGTATTTTTTTTTTTTTTTCAAACTTTTTCTTCTTTTTCTTCTTCCACTTTTCTTTTTTTTTTTTTATTATTCGATCAAGTTTTAAAAATTTTTTCCTGGTATAAAATTTTTCTACGGGAATTTTTTATAAAAATTACGCGGGATAAAATTTTAAAAATTTGAAGTTTGAAATTTTTTTCTTTTTTTTTTTTCACGGGGGCGTCGTCGAACCCCTCACGAAAAATTTTTACAAAAAATTTTAATTTTTCCCTAAAGCGGCATAAATAAAAAGGCACGAATACCGACAAATGGCGGTACGTGTGCGTGCATGTGTGCGTGTGCAGGTAACAAAGTGTGGGAATAGAAATGAAAATTCGACCACTCCTGTCCGTCCCTTAAAACACGCACACACACGCACACGCACTTTTCAAATTTTCACACAAAAAGGCGTTTTTTTTTTTTCCTTTTTTTTTGTACCGATAATACCGTCACCATAAGGTAAATACGATTTTTTTTTTTTTTATCCTGGTTTTTGTTTGTTATTCTATCCCTCGGGATCTCAAAAATTTAAAAAGAAAAAAAAAAAAAATTTTTCTTATTAGCGCGTGAGAAAAAAAAAAAAAACAACAAATCCACATCGATTCGAAATAGTTTTTTTTTTTTGTTTTCAATTCGTTTAAACCCATTATTATCATCATTATCATCATCATAATCATCATCATCATCATTATTACAACCGTTATTAATAGAATGGAATCCAATGAAGCTTCCATATTGTAAATAACGACCATAACACATCTATCATAATTTCTTTTTTTTTTTTTTTTTTTTCCTTAAATCAATCACTTTAACGTTTTCTTGTTTTTATTGTAACAACAATAATAATAATGATGATAATGATAATAATAACAATTGTTATGCGTAGTACGTGCGTGTGTGTGTGAGTGTGTCGGGTTGTGTAAGGTGTTGCCCTCGTTCTTCTTCTTTTTTCTATTTTTTTCATTCTATGTTATTCATTTTAATTAAATTCTATTCAATGAGTATCGACTACGTCGTCGTCGTCGTCGTCGTCGTCGACGACGATGATGATGACGTCGTGAATTAAAATTATAAAAAGGCGGTGGAAAAAATTTTTTTTTTTAAACGTCCATCGCGAATGTGCGCGCGCGAGTTAAGTAAAATTTAAATCTCGAAATGTTTTTTTTTTTTTTTAAATCCAAATAATAAATTTCGTGCCTGAGCTTAAATAATAATAATAATAATAATAAGTCGTCGTCGTCGTCGTCGGAGATTTTTTTTTTTTAATACACGCATGTGACGTCACACGTGTAACATGGCATCCGCGTTAATTCTATTCAATAATTGATTTTAATAAAATTATTTTTTTTTTTTGTCTGAACCTTTTTCTCTCTCACCTTTTTTTTTTTATTTAGACGTCACCCATCACCGACAGAATCAACAACGACAACCGTAAAAGAAAAAAAAAAAAAAAAAAAAGGAAAAAAAGAAGAAAAAAAAAATGAAAACCTGTCACGTATTATCGATCGGAATTTAATAACTTAATAAATTTTCAATCACCGAACGAGGGGGGGGGAGAGGGTGGGATTCTGAACAAATTAAACGAGATAGACTCACAGTAGGCACACACTCAAAGATTTCTTTTTTTTTTATATTCGGGATTTTTTTTTTTAATAGTTTTCGAGGGTTCCCCAGGGGTAACTTAATAAGGCGAACAAACGCAAACGGTGTGTTGTCGTTGTCGTCGTTGTTTAATTTTTCATTATTATTATTATTATCACCATTAATTTAAATATTTATTTACCGTTATCCGATTAACAAAATAAATCTCACCGCCTTCTTTTAACGAGAAAACAAAATGAAAAAATAAATAAATAAATGTTTGTTTTTCCTACCTGTAACAGCAGCATCCACTTTATCCAGATGTCTTAGAGTCATGGCAACCGGAAAATAAGTTAATTCCAAAATTTTACTTCCGTTAAGTTTTTTCGTCAATAAAATGGCGGTCGAACGTATTTTCAAAACGGGATGAAATTCAACGCAATTCGTATTTAACGTCGGATCCGATGTTATTTCCACGCCGGAAACAAATTCTTTCGGCACGTTAACAATCACTCTACTATATTCCGATAATTCTTTTCCACCTTTGATGGCTCTTTTTATTTCCACGACAAATTTTTCGCCATTTTTCTTTTCTTTACCATAATAATAATAATTTTTTATATTAACGTCGATCGTGTTATTCGTTTCGAACGATTTCAACGACGATTTTATCTTACCCGATTTTAACTTTTTCGATTTTTTATTATTATTATTATGACGTTTTTCTTGTTTTTTATTATTATCACCACCGACACCGACACCGACACCGTCGCCATCATTGACACCATCGATCAACATCGATTTTTTTCTCGCGACACCATTCGTTTTCGATTCTTCGTAATAACTCAAAACTTTACCGGTAAAAACGAAATTCGAATATTTGACCACTTCCCGAAGTTTTTCGTTGTTTTTCTCATCGTTTTCGAAATTGCATATGGTTCTGTGTCTCCTTTTCGAAAATAATTTTCTTCTCATTCTTATCGTCGAATACGGTATTATTTTATCATCGTCCGCGTACTGATAACAACTTATGAAAAAACCGTTCAAAACGATCAATAAAAATAATAATATTTTCATTGATGATTCCATTTCGATTTATTTTTTTGTTTTATTATCAATTTTTCCGGAAGTGACGCAACGATTGTCATCTTTTTTTTCCCATCTCCTCACCCACCCATCGAAACACCTGAAATTTAAAAAAAAAAAAAAATGTAAATAAATACGTTCGATTTATCGATACGATCGATTGTATCGATTGCAACGCCGCGCGTTACATAAACTCTCATGGTAATAATAATAATAATAATAATAATAATAATAATGATGATGATGATGAATAATGTTTATTCGTTTGTTTGTTTTGTTTCGTTTCGGAGTAACCGGAAGAAGAAAATGAATTACATAGAAAACGAAAGATCAAAAGAGATTTTTTTTTAAAAAATCGGAGCGTAAATAATATTAATAATAGTAATGAATTTATTTATTACGTGTGAAATAATAATAATAATAATGATGATGATGATGATAATATAACGACGATAGTTCGTTCGGCGACGTTAATAACAAGACTTAAAATCTCTCACTCGGAAACAAAACAAAAAAAAAATTGTTTTTTTTTTTTGTTTTTGTTTTGTTTTGTTTTGTTCATCGATTCAAGCGTAAAATTCACACGAGAGTCAATAATCGATCGATTTATTGATTTTCTTTTTTTTTTTTTTTTTTTTTTCCTTTTGTCGAAACGATGTTGTGTGCGAAACGAATCGATAGCAAAACGTGAAGAGCCAAATATATATATAAGATGGAAAAATTTAACGTTTTTTCGTGCCGTAATCTCGTTTTGCTTTCTTTAAGAAAAAAAAAAAAAAAAAAAAAAAACAGTTTTTTTTTCGTATTAATAAAGAAATAATTTACGATTAATAAAAATTTATTTTTATTGAAAAAAAAAATAATAATAACTATGACACTCTCAAAGTGTGTTCTTTGTGCGAGCAGACGAAATTTAAACAAAGAATTATTGCAAGATGTAAATAAAAACTATTTTTTTTTTTCAAAAAGAAATCTAAATGTAAGTCACGAGTCGTTGTTTTTATTTTTTGTGCGTTGATGGAAATCGATAAAAGGATAATTAAAAAAAAAAAACAAAAATTAATAATAAACCAGACGACAACAAATTAATTAAAAACGCGCCATATTGTTTTTTTTTTTTTTTTAAGTAAGACACTAACCGTCGTTTTATTTTTTTTATTTTTTTTTTAAATTGTTTCATAAGAATCCACGACATTTTTTCAAATATTTCTTTTATATATTTACTTATTATATTGAATTCACCCTGTTTAATAATAATAACAATGATAATAATAATAATAATAATTCAAGTTCGAAAACGTCAAATAAATATTGCATTTCAATAAAACAACGACGACGACACAAACGTTTCGTCGTTTATTATATGTAAAAAGAAATAAATCTTATTTAATGAAAAAAAAAAACAATTTTTTTACACTCCTTTCGTATATTTTTCTCTTCTCAATATTTTCCCACAATGTAAACAAACGAAAACGACAAACGAAACAACAAACGATACACAAAATGAAAAAGAATAAAAATCGATAAATCGATAATTTGAAAAAAAAAAAAAAAATTAAAAACTTTTTAAACAAACAAACACTAACCTGTTTGATTGTTCGATTGTACGAAAACACAACAACCACAACAATAACAACAACCGTCCAAAATTTCCTCTCGTTTTCGTTAAAAAAGAAAAAAAAAACACGCGACGCGACGAACTGGACAAACAACACAAAAACAAACAAAAATCAAATTATCATCATCATCATCATCCGAAATTAAGATAAATGAATGAAAATAATAATAATAATAATACGTAAACCGTACGATCGATTTGATGACACACGACGTTGACAATTCACATGTACGAAAAATTCACTTTAAACCGGAAATGAAACGAATTTAATTTACCGATTTTTATTTTTAAAAAAAAAATTTTGCGGAGTCACGAGATTTTCTCTTATCACCGTTACGCGTGTCTAAAGCCACTATGTCAAAAAAGGCACACGTCTTAAGTGGTAAGTGGTTTGTCGTCTGTTTGTGGTACAAAAAAAAAAAAAAAAAAAAAAAGTAAAAAAAAAAAAAAAAAAAAGTTTATTGTAAAACAATCGTGGGAAAAATCGTCATTTTAAAAAGAACTACGAATCCCTATGAAAAACTATGAGCGACGTGAGTTTTTTTACATTTATAACTCGCATACGAAAACTCACTCGGACAACTCGTATGAAAATTTTTCTTTTTAAAAGACCATGGTCGATTCGTATTTTACATATGATTCCTTTATCTTCTTATAATAAAAAATAACAAAGATATTTAACTTTTTTATTTTTTTATTTACTCCTACGTAAATGAGTTTCTCTCATTTTCTTCTGCTCCTTTTTTTTTTTTTTTAATGTTTTTCTTATGGTTTTGGGATGATGCTTCTGCGCGGTTTATTATTTCTTCGCGAAATTTCTTTCGTTAATAATTATCATTATTAATATTTTTTTTTTTTTTGAAACAGCAATATATTATAATCACGTGGCAATATTTTATCCCGAGGGATTCGATCTTAATTATAACCCAAATGATACCTGGTATTTAATACAAATGTATACGTTTTTAGTTATTAATTTTCATTTGTGACAGAATAATGATGATAATTGCCTACATATTTTTGTTTTAAACCTAAGTTAAACGTAGTTTAGTTTTTTACGTAACATTTTAAATTTTACCTGTTTTTTTCTATTTTTCGGAGCGGGGGGCGGGGGTGGGAGTTACTTTCCAGAAGAAAGACGTTACAAACAAAAAAATTTATTTGTTAAGCGGATGAAGATCTCATCTTGGTAAAAATGATAATGATTCACTCTTATCTATCTAATACATCTTATTGATTACAGATTATTGAGATTTTTCTTGCCTCCCTAAAAAAACAAAACATAAAATTAAATTAAGTGAGATGAAAAGGGAGTGAGAGAGAGAGAGAGATTAAGATTAGGGAAAATCCATGGGAGGCATCACACGAAGGAGGATGTAAAAAACAAAAAAATTTAAGACCACCTTTGAAGGGTTTATTTTTTTCCCTTAATTTTTTGGTGTGACCCGCGACGCCCTCGATTATACCGTGTGGGAAACGAGTATTTTTTTTTTCTTCTTTATTTAAAGACCTAAAATTGGAGGGGGGGGAGTGGGAAGGGGGAGACCTTAATACATATCGATATGTTATTATCGGGTGTCTCCCATTTTCACTCGTCACACATTTAAATTTTTTTTTTTTTTGTTTTTTTTTCCCTTTCCTACTTCATTTGTTTAAACCACTTTTATTAATTCGACCAGCCCTCCTCTTCCCTCCTCCCTACCCCCTCCCCTCCCTTCCCGAATATGATGAGAAAAATTTTTTGTTAATATTTCACAAAATTTTTTTTTAGTAGGTGGTCTATATAGAATTTACAAAAAAGAAAAATTTTAATTTCCTTACGGCAAAACGAAATAAAAATTTTTTTTTTTGGTTCTTTACCATTTTTGATCCTCCCTCTTTCCCCCCCCCCATTTTTTTACAGCTTCCGGGTTAGATTGAAGATTTTTTATTTGTTTAAAAACGACTTAATTTACAAAAAAAAAAAAAATTGACGTGTGTGCAAAAGTTTATAAGGAAACGTAATAATATTTTCGTTCTTTGTTTGTTTAATTGAAAACCGTTGACAACGACAACAACAACCACAACAAGCACAATAACAACAATAAAAATTCTTTTATTAATAAAAACTTATTACTTTTTTTAAAATTTATTAACTTTCAACTCATTATTTCATTCGAATATAAAACCTAAATAAAAAATACGCATTAAAATACGAAATTTTTCCTACTTTTTTTTTCTGGGTGGGGGGAAGTGGGGGATTTCTAACGAATAACGAAAAAAATTGGAATAAATCGTTGAATTTCCGGAAGAAAAAAAAATAAAAAATAAAAAAAGTAGTCGAGATGGCGGACGAAACCGTTCGGTAAACGTTCGTACGTAATAATATCTTATTAAAACTATCAAATATTTTTTTTTTTTTTTTTATTACCACGGTAATAAAATTTTCCGACGTGAAAATTTTTTTTTTTTTTTTATTAAATTTTCCCGGTTTTAATTTAACCGTCAAAATTTTTATGTTTTTTTTTTTTTTTTTTTTTTTTTAAATAATTATTTTTATTAACAAAAAAAAAAAAAAAAATAACGGAAAATTTTTAAACCGAAAATCAGTGGATGGTTATTGTCGGTTATCGGTCTCCCGCTGATTTTTCCAGATTTTTTTTTTTTTTTTTTAAATTTTTCCAGCCGATTGAATCTTTTGTTTTATTTTTTTTCATTCCTCTCTTCCGGTTCATTTGAAAATTTTAAACGTATAAAAACCCACATGCATCGTCCAACTTTTGTAACAAAAAAAAAAAAAACAAAAAAAATTACCACAAACGAATTTTCGACCCGAAGCGTTCGCCATCATTACAACACCGTCATAATTTAAAATTATTATTATTATTATTATAACCTTTTTACAACAACTGCAAAAAAGGTTTAATAAGATAATAATTTTTTTTTTTTTTAAAGGTCAAAAAATTATTTCCCATTAATTTAACCGAGATTTGAAGATCGGGGGGGGGAGGAGAAAGGGAAACGAAAATTAACCGGAAAAACATTCGAAAAAATTCTTTTCTTTTTTCTTCAACAGAGAGAAAAAAAATACTGGAAAATGACGTGAAAAGAAAAATAATTAACTTTATAATCAATAATCAATAACAAGAAGAAGAAGCAGAAGAAAAAAGAAGGCAAACCTCTTGATAAAATAAAAAAAATAAAAAAACTTTTTAGAAAATCTATAATTGAAAAAAAAAAAAAAAAAAAAAAAAAAATTTCTCATGAAAAATGATTTCACTGGAAAAACTAAATGATAATAATAATAATAATAATAATAATAATAATAATAATAATAATAACAATAATAATAATAATAATAGTAATCGTTAAGGTATGGCGCCTTAGTAAAATAGAAAACCTTAGT